GCCCAGTCTTCCCAGTGGGCGGCCTACCTCCGGGAGTGGGCCCCGCCCCCTTGTGACAGCCGGGAATTGGCGGCAGCGTGCTGCCATTTCCGGTTTCGGGGAGGTGGGTGGGGTGCGGAGCGGGACTTGGAACCGCCGCCGCCTTGGCCACCGCCTACAGAGTGTCCTGCGCCTGGTGCTGCCTGGACCATGCGGCCCGAGCCAGGAGGGTGCTGCTGCCGTCGCCCGCCGCGGGCGAACGGCTGCGTGGCGAACGGGGAAGTGCGGAACGGGTACGTGAGGAGCAGCGCCGCTGCTGCCGCTGGCCAGGTACGGTGGGACTGGGCGGCCGGGCCGGGGCTTCGGGCCGGGACCCCTGGAGCTGGCGCCGGTGCGGAGCCGGCCGGGCGGGGTGAGGTCGCGCTGACTGTCCTCAAGGCGGGCGTCCGGCGCGGCTCAGGTGTGCTGGCGGCGGTGTCCTGGCGCTGACCGGGCCTGTCCGGAGCCGGAGCCTCAAGGGCGGTACAGGGAGGGGCTCCCCCATCTCTCCTCGCTCGAGAGGTCGTCTTTTCCGTCTCCTGGAGGTGTGGGGTGTGCTCAGAGCCCGGGTACTTTCCTCTCCCCGATTTGGCCCGAAATGCGGGCCGCCGTCCAGCGGAGGCAGGGGGCGACTCCTCAGACCCAGGAGGAACCACTTTGGGGCTCTTGATTCCGCCGAGGCTCCTTCCTTATGCCCTCGAGGTGGTTGCTTCCTCTTCGAGCCTTGAGGTCCTCCAAGGGAAACCATCCTGGGTCCTCAGGAGGCAAAGCTTAAGAGGTGGTACGAGGCGGAAACGAATTCAGCCACTTCCTACCGCAGCCCCTGCCCGCTCTGCAAGCGCGACGTTGGACCACAGACCCGGAGGTGAGCCTGGCGCGGCGCCTCGGGAGCCTGGTGCTCGTGGCCTGCGGGGACACCCCACCCCAGACTCCAGGCTGAGCGGGGTGGTCCCTTTGGCCCTGTGAGCGACAGTTCTATCTCACTAGGGGCTTGTTTAACCTGGCGGTGACTTATGATGACTCTACTAAGTAACCAAGGCTGAATCACCAAGCAAATCCAGGCAGTTCGGAAATATTTTGAAAAGTTCTCAGTTCAAGACAGTAACTATTAACCTTCCAATTCCAATTCTCTGGACTGACATGTTCTGCTGAAATGTGTTTTTAAAGACAACCCGGTTAAAAGGATGCAAGATCCGTGTTGCTGGAAGGGAGTGTTGCGATATTTGCAATTGACTTTAATGCTTCTAAGTCTTGTTCACATATTAAGGAAAACTGTTTTTTGTTGTTGTTTTTTTCCAAAACTAGTCTTTTCCCTGTATTAGGCTTGTGACTGTTGTGACTTAATCTGGCTTTAACATAAATATCTGGCAGGCTCTTCCCCCCATTAGTACATGTTATAGATAGGCCCGTTGCTGTTCGGTGTGAAGCAGAAAATAAAGCATTTCTCCAGGTCATGTTGAGAGAGTAAGACTGTAAGAGTTGGAGGGAAAATACATACAGGAGACTTGAGCTCCCCTAAAGGTGTAAGGCATAAGGCAATATAATACTCAAATTCAAAAGATTTGTTTTCTTTTTTTTTT